TACCCTAGCAATAGGGGGATCCTCCGTTTGGCAAAACACTTTCTCGTGAAGCTCGTCACTCAGCTCCCTGAGTAGAACTCCGAGTACTCAGAGCTCTAAGACGTCCTGCGCCTCAAGGAGGAAGAAGTTCAAATGTTCCCTTTTCTGGCTTGTCCCCAGGGTAATAGAGTCGAAACCTACCGGGAACTGGGCAGAGTGCTGCAGGAAGATGGCAACCATTTAGAGCGGGATCTGATAAGGCAATTAACAACGCTGGCCTCAAGGGACATGAGAGTGGGGCAGGTAAGCTTGTTCTCTTTGAAGCTAGTCAGAGACTCCTGCCTAGAGCCCAGCTTTTGGCAAGCTCTAGAAGGGACTCCAAAGAGCTCCCCTTTGCCTTTAGAACCAGTGACGCCTCCCAGATCCTGCTGGGCAGACTCTTCCTCAGCAGAGCTAACTCCTTGAGGGAAAGGGCCGTAGCCAGCCCGGTTCATGAGCAGGCGCAGAACCCGAAACAGCTGCCCTGTGTACAGCGGCACGTTTGCCTGAGTCTTGGGCTGCAGCTGGCAGGAGCAGGCCCATGACTGCTGAAAGAAGCGTGCCTCCCCTCCAGCGAAAGGCTCTGGCCAGGCAGCTGGGAACTCAGCTCCTTCTAAACGACTGGCCACTGGACTACCGTTCTTGTGTCTTCATGCTGCTTGGATGAGGAAGAGCCGTGCCAAAGTGCCAGTCCCTCTCCTGCTGCACCCAGTGTCCCTTTCCGCCTCCTGGGTGCAGAGTGTTTGCTGCTGGTGCCTTCTTGGGGCTTCTCTCTTCCTCTTCTCTTGCTCTCGCAGAGGGAAGGCAGCCAAAGCGTGAGCACAGACGGGCAAGCGGTGCAAACTCCTCCCTTGCCAGACAAGCTTGGCACTGCTCAACTACCTGCCTCCCCCAAGCGGTCAAAGTGGTGACTGCCGAACAGGCTGGCAACAACTGATGACTGATGGCTCTCTCGGCAGCCATGAGACTTGTTGCACTGGTCCCTTGAAACGTGGACGTGCAGAGCTGGAGTCAGGCAGCCGTTGCTGGCTAGTTGCGTGTGCCCTGTCGCCTCAGCCTTTCCCGTGTTGATTGTTGTCCTTCGTGGTTCTTTTGTAGGGTGTAGCGGATGAATTGCAAAGAGCAGCGAGTGACATCCTGGTGTCCCTGGCCCGCTCCCACTTCCTGCACATCATGGATGAGCTGCAGAGTCATCTGAGGCCTGGCCAGGAAACCCCTGAGGAATTTGTCTTTATTACCCTCAGCAAACTTGCCACAAGCTATGGTAGCGCAACTTTGGCTTTGGGACTTGACGCTGGGTTGCTGGAGCAGTGGGAGAAGGGATGCAGTTGTGCAATGGGAGGGCTGCCAGCTTGTGGCTGCCACGTCTTTCGCTGCCCCGGGAGCAGCTGGAAGTTGTGACTTTGGCCCCTGGGCTAAGAGCCCTCAGGAGGGGACAGCAGGGAGACCCAACCTCGCGGCCGCCTGCTCTGCTGTGCTTCCAGGCCCACCTTGAAGTGCTTCCCTGCTCCCATGCCATGTGGGAAGGTCAGCCGGCACGCTTGCCCCCTGGCAGGGCACTCTCCCACACATGACGCCTGCCCAGTGACTCTCGGTGGCAGCTCTGGAATCCACCCTGCCATTCTGACGGAGTCCCAAGTGGCCTGGCATCACATAGCCCTTGCCCATCACAGGTGCAAAGTGCCTGACGCCAAAGTCTCCCAAGAATCTCCCTGACGACAGCTTGCTTGCTTTCTCCCTGCCCTGTCCCTTCTCTGCAGCACTGAGGTGCATCCCTTTTGTGGAAAGGACCTGGGCTGCTATGCACGCCATGCTCAATCAAGCACATCACAGCAGAATCAAGCAGGCTTTCTGTGGAGGTGAGCGCCAGCCTCTAGCGCGGGGCTCCGTCGGGATGCAGAGGGAAGGGGAAGTTGCAGAGCGGTGCTCGACACCCAACTCTCTGCCCTCTTGAGTGAGTCCAGGCCCTTTACAGCACCCAAGAGTCTGCACAGCGTCAACACAGGGTCTCAAGCTCAGGAGACTGCTGTGGCCAGGAAGGGCATGGAGTTCTTGGACTTTTACTACTCAGCCTCCTGCAGCAAATCTTGGAGGAGGCAAAGGGCTAGCGGGGACAAGCAGGAGAAGAGGCAGGAGAGAAACAGATGAGCATTCCACGGAAGGCATTGTCAAGCCTTCCACACCTGCCCCAGAACCCAAAACTGCTCCGGAGCTGAGCGCTGAGCAGCATGGGACTGCAGCTGCAGACAGGCCAGGGTGCTAATGCAAGCTAGTCTCCGTGCTGCATACTTGAGCACGTGCCCTTGCTGCCCTTCTCTTCCGCAGTGCTGGAAACATGGTCGAAAGGTGTAACCCTCTACTTCCGAGCCTGGGCAAAGTGCTCCTTCCCTCGAATCGGGGAAGCCCGGTTGTGTGACAAAACGTACCCGTTGTTCTGCTCCGTGGTCAGAAACTGGCTGGACTGCGAAGAGGAAGAGGTGAGCAGGGCTGCCTTTGCGGCCCCTTAGCAGCCGCGCTAACGCGGGGGTTCATCTGCCTTTCTGGGTAACGATGGTGCGTCAGGAGAAGTGCTTTGGGAGGAAGCAGGTTGCCCAAGCAAGCGCCTAGAGCTGCAAGCCTGCTGCGGCTCAAGAGCATGGGAATGCTGTGGGCTGACAGAGAGCGTGCCTGGATTCCAGCTTGGCAGCCCCCTGACGAGCTAGTGAGGCCAGGCGGGGCCTGGAGAACCCCTGCTGGCAACCCACCAAATGCCAGTGACCCTCGAGCCAGAAGGGTGGGCGGTACAGAAGAGGGGCAATACTCCCTCTCCTCTTGAGCCAGGCCGTGTCCTCTAGAGGAAGACGGGAAATGGCAGGTGCTGGGAAGAGGGAAGTTTGCGTCTGGGGGGTGCTGCACCCTCGAGTAGAGCTTCATTTGGAGCAAACAAACGTCTTCCGCCTTCTCTGCGTTGCAGCTCAAGCAGGCCATCATCAGAGCTGTGGCGGCTATGATGGGCCTCCTTCTTCACAAAGAAGAGTATGAGGAGCAGGTGTGCAGCCGGCTGTCCTGGCTCCTGGGCCAATATGAGGAGGTCCAGGACAGTGCTCACGTGACCAAGGTGAGGCGTCCCGCAAGGCGCTGTGGCTGTGTGAGGCAGGGGGAGCGTGTGCAAACAGCAGGCAGCAGCGGGGGTTGCTGCTGCAGCTGGGCAGCTGTTAGAGAAGAAGCCGAGACAGGCACATACAGATGGCGCGGGAGCTTTGGGGCCTTCTGGTGGCTCAGGAAAGAGGCTAGCCAGCCAGGGAGGCACACTGTCCTGTGTTCATGAGCTGCTCTAGGTGACAAGCCCCCCTCTTCTTTGCACCTTCTCTACTTGTAGAGTCTCAGTCACTTCTTGGAAGTTGTGGTGAAATCCCAGCTCTTGATCCCCAAAGGAATAGTTTTTGTCATCTGCATCGTTGTGCACAGCCAGGTAAGGCGGCGCTGTGAACGTCTTGCGCTTCCCCTTGGGTCGAGCAGGTCTGCCTCAGGCTGACAGGAAAGACTTGCGGGCTGCCAGTGCAGAGGTTCCCTGACCCGGGCCTTTCTCACACCTTGCAGTCAGGTCCGTGCAGCTCCTGGGGCGCTCCATCCCACGCAGGTGCCCGCAGACCTGTCCAGGCCCGATTGTGATTGTAACTGCTTTGCCGGGGCTCCACTCACAGCT